CAACTGACACATGAGCAGGGGGATTTCATTACTTGTTACAATCCCAACTTGGAGTGCCCAGCCAAACATGAATGTATGATTGTTACATGATGTAAATGAATTTTAAAAAATTGAATGCTGAAAGCTGGTAACATGCCAAGAAGCACATTGCCAGGTGTGGCTGGGGAAGTTACTACCACTTCTCAAGGTTCTTGTGGTGCTCAATTCCCTTCCATCCCCAACAGAATTTAAACATTTTCACTTCAGCTCCTTGCCAATTTTTTTCTAATGATTCCAACTTGGAATTTTTGACAGGGCTGTGTGCACAAAGATGTTCTTAAAAATTAACTTTTTTCAATTATTCAATTAGTAATGTTGAAAATTCATCAAGTTAAAAATCAAGAAGTGAAAATTCCCCCCCCCCTTGATTTTTGAACTTTTTTCAAAAATGTGTGCCATTTTTGTCCATAGCTCATTCAATTTTGAAGTGTTCTCAAAATTGTGAATAGTGAGATTTAGAAAACATCTGGGCTCTTGAAACTTTGGAAGAAATTTTAAAATTGAGTGGAAATTGAATTTTGAACAGATTTTGTAATTTGGCAAGATGGGAAGAAATGCATATCCAGGAATTCAAACTTTTCTGTTTAGCTCATTCTAACTTTTAGGATTTTGATGAAATTTCAAACTTTTTGGCGGGGTTACATGCGCACAGATGTTTAACAATTTCACATATTTTTATGTTTGAAAAATGTTGAAAATTGAATGAGTAAAAATTCTAAAAACAAAATCTTTTTTTCCCAATTTTCATACAATTTTCAAAAACATTTTTGCGTTTTTGATTCTATCTCATGCAATTTTGAAGTTTTTCAAACATTTGAAAAAAGGAAATGTTGGAAACTTCATTGTGCACATAACTTTTGAAACAATTTGGAAATTGCTCAATAATTGAAATTTTGACAAATTTTTAAAGTTAGCAAAACAGGAAATGGAATTTTCAAAAATGTCTGTTTTTTCAGTTTAGCCCATGATAACTTTTTTGTTATTAGTGTAATATTAATCATATTTTAGGGGTGGTTGCGCATGGATGTTTTGTGAATTTAGGTATTTTTTTGATTGAACAAAATTAAAAACTTGAAAACCTAAAATTAAAAATATAAAAGTATTTTTTCCCGTTTAATCCCCATTTTTGAAAAACGTTTTGCGTTTTTAATTGTAACTTTGTCAATTTTAGAGCTTTTTTTAAATTTGAAAAAGGGAAAGACAGCAAACATCTTGGCGCTTTGTTTAAAGTTTTAAAAAGTGCATTTTATTGAAAATTCGATTTTTAGCAAATTTTGAAAGTTGATATGCTGGGAAACGCCACCCTCCTGCAGGCCTGTCTGGGGCTGGGTGGGAGTGAGGATAGGGGGCAAAAGGAAAGGGAGCGCCTGTGAAAATTAAAAAAATGCTGCGAACACCGGACGGCAAGCAACTTTATTATAGTAGATGCTGTACGTATATACCATATACCGTGTATTAAGCAGCCCAGCAATATGACAATGCTGGTTCATGCCGTTGATAATCTTATACTGCTGCATCGTCTCATTTAACAAGCTAATAACTACGGTATATATATACAGTACATGTATAGACGAGGTGGTGACAGCAGTGCTGCTGTGTATAGTTTCATTCGAAACGATGCATAATACAGTACCGTATATGCACTTTCATCTTGTACTGCTGTGCCCAATCTTATTTTCTTCACAAATACTGCAGCTTGAATCTGCATGATGCTGGTAACAATAAAAAACTTGAGCGGGCTTCAGAAAACATGAATTTTATTGCAGTGAATTAAATTATTTGCGGGAACATAAGCTTTATTCCAGAATACTGAATATCATTCGGAACAGACAGTGTCACATTGCATCTGCTGCTGCTGCCCATCTGAGGTATTATCAAACTCGCGCTCATCTGCGCGATGGCTTTCTGTCAATTCTTTGATGGGAAAGGTTTCGGTATAGTCACAGTTATTGATGCCGTGAACCATCAGCATGCGTCGTGTGAAAATGTATTCCGCAGCCATGTAGCGAGATTGTATCTTCCCTAGTACAGTAGTTGCATTTTCATGCTGATGAGAATGATGAGAAAAGTCTTGCAATGCCGTACAGTACAGCATTTTAATAAGAGAGAGAGAGAGAGACAGTCCGATCTCGTAATACGAACTCGTGATATATGGCAAAAATATAGATGATTCGCCAAGTGTACCGCATATGATTGAAAATGAGTTGAATGATGGTAGAGTGTATATACGGTACGTATAGGCGACGAGAAAGTTACTTGATTCAGTACTGGATGAAGCTACAGGAGGGATTGAGACATGTCGTGTTTTTTTATTATTCATCACTCTTGTGCAGAATGTGCAATATGTACAGTATTGCAGCGTAATATATATATATAGAGTAAAATGCATCCATTAATTCGTACAGCGTTCAGAATATTTGAGGATATTCGCATTCATGCATACAGTATAGATGCAGCAGCATCACTCTGGACCGTAACGGGTGGTGTTTTTACTTGTTGTTGTTGTTGTTGCCGAGTTAATTGTTTTTGTTGTTTTCAGAGCGCATATATATATATATGATTACAATCGCATATGATGCAAGGAAATATGAAATGCGTTAGTTAGAATGTACATCGGTCTTCGGCGGTCATCATCATCATCAATCCCGCGAAACGCCGCAGAAAACTCTTTGAAGACTCGCATGATGACGATGGTGGCGGCAACCACCGGCAGCAGCCGCAGAAGAAGCAGCAGCAGCAATAAGAGCAGCAGCAGCAATAATAATAAGCAGCACGCAAATAACGAGGATCATCATGCACCTCATACAGCACCGGCACCATCGTCATCGCTTGCTGCTGCGGCTAGTGGTCGTGCTGCTCAACATGCTCTGGGTCATCTTCCCGAGAAAAATGATGAGAGAAATCGGCACCGAAACTCCTCGTCGTCGTCCTTGCTGTTGGCGGCGACTCATGACGACGAGTGCTGTCGAAACGAAAATAATGGGGAGGATGAGGTGATGATGACCTGCATGATGAGCAGACCAAATATGAATGAGAATCACCAGCAGCAGCCGCCTGATGATGATGATGATGATGATGATGCTGATGATGTGATGCCCGTGATAATGCCTGCTGTTGCTGCTGCTGCTGCTGCTGCTTTAAGACCAGGACGATGCAGCTCGTCGTCGTCTCATCTGACGATCGTCCGTCACATCGACGACGACGACGACAACGAGTCAGGGTTTCGCGGCCGATCCTCCGGCTCACCTTATTGCAAGCATGAGCAACAGGGACGAGGTAGAATATATGCTGGACAGCATACGAGAGTCAACTTTACTCTGTACAGTACAGTACTCTATATTTTGTACTGTATACTTTATTTGGCCCTCTGCTGCTGCTGTTTGTAATACGTATATGCGGCGTATCATTGGTATATTATTCCGAGTAATATAATGCACTGGACGTATAATCATCTCAACAGCAGCAATATATAATTTTTGTTTCATTTCCGAGCAAAAATTCCTACAATTTTCCATATATAACCCGCATTATTCATTTAAATTTTGAAGCTGCTGTTCAGGGTTGCCGTGTTGTATATATATATATATACAGCTATATACAGTATAGTACCTATTTATCGTCGTGATGCCAATGATGATGAGCAGAAATCGCTGCTTGTGCTTTTTCGCCTTAATTCATGTAAACCAGCAGCCCTGTTTCAAAATTGCTTGATATCTTTTATTTTTTGCATACTCATGATGCGGACGGTTCAATAATAAGCAAGTCTGTACTACTGTATTATTAGGTGCACATTATACAGTACTTTCAAGTCCACAGCAGCAACAATAAGACGATGGAATAAGCGTAAATGGAGCAGCAGAAAAGCGTCAGGCTAAAGAGAAAAATGACCCATGTACTGCACACAGCACAGTTATAGTCGATGTACAGTACAGCAGTACCTTCTTGCGTATATATATATATATATATATATATGTGTGTGTGTGTGTGTATGTATAGGGCCCGAGGAGGACGAGGACGACGACGCCGATGATGAACTACGACCTGCTGCTGCTGCTGCTGCTGTTTTTCCCATTACCACCATCACCACCACCAGCAGCAGCAGCCCTAATCAAATCCAGCAGCAGGGTCATCACTATTACACCGATTCAACGGCCATGCCAACGACGACAACGACAACGACAACGACAACGACGACGACGACGACAACGACGACTGGAGTCATCGAGCCCTACTACTGCGCCGTTTGTGGGGACAAGGCCACTGGGAAGCACTACGGCGCTGCGTCCTGCGACGGCTGCAAGGGCTTCTTCCGACGATCCGTTCGCAAGAACCAAAAGTATTCTTGTCGGTCAGTCATCATTATTATTACTATTGGCGCCGCTTGGAATGCCGTGAAATATCGCAGATTTGGATCATTATAATTGTAATAGATTATCATTTTTTGCACGGCTCTCTCATTATAATTGCTGTATATACTGACGATGGTATATATGCACGCACAGCTGCAGCATTGATACTCTAGTTATATATAATACGTCCATACACTGTGTACTGTACTGCTGTACAGCAGCACGCAATAATGATGGATGTTTGTTATCCATTGCAGATTCAAGAAGGTGTGCATGATTGACAAAGAACGAAGGAACCAATGTCGACACTGCCGACTGACCAAGTGCCTCAGCACTGGCATGAAAAGAGAAGGTTCGTCATGATGATGCTCAATAAAAGCAATGCATATATCATATCACCAGCAGTCTAGTGTGCATTTTTCCAATGTTTTCCAATTCCCTCATGTATTGCTGCTATTATCGTCAATAATAGAGTATATATATATATATATATATACACTAGAGTATACTGTATATACAGTGCACTTTTGCTCAATAGTGACGCATTTCTCATCACATCGATGATCCATATGATGATAGGGAATAATAATGAAACGGCCACCCACGCGGTGAGCATTAATGACGATTTTTTTGGATTCCACTGAAGCCGTGCAAAACGAAAGAGACCGAATCAGCAGTAGTGCCGGTAACAACAAGATGACGAGGATGATGAGCAGCACTTGTCCGAGAATAAGCGACACGAGCAGCAGCAGAAAACCCCTTATTGCATCATCAGCAGCCAAGGACAGCAGCACCACTGCCATCACCAGCACCCTGTTTCTGCTGGACATGTTGCTGCAAGCAGAGAGAACCTTGTTTCAGGTCTGTTCTTCTTCTCTTCTTCTTCTTCTTCTTCTTCTTCTTTTCTTCTTTCGACAATGTGATGGACTGAGCTTGATTTCATTTCTTCTATTCTATATATATACCGACTCTGGTCTGTTATATTGTTGGTGTTGTGCTGTATATGCATGCTGCAGCCGGCCATCCTTATCCTTGCATGACCATATGACTACGTGTTCTTTATACGTACATATATGTAGTGCAGTATGTTGTATATATTAAGGTATTAGAGCATTTATAACAACGAAAACTCATTTGCTGCTGCTGGTTATTATACTGTCATCATTATCATCCATTATAAATGCCACTATACTGCGGATGCCCACAGCAGCATTATTATCCTAAATAAACGCATGTATTATTGTTAAATAGCTGTGTATGTATATATATATATATATATAGGTGCATAAATTGTACGTACATAAAGCAGCATATTATATACAAATGCGCATACCGTTCATGAGGATGATGATGATGATGATGATGATGTTGCTGGCTGCAGCACGCGTGTTATTGATTCGTTCATTTTCACTGTACATCAGTATATATAGATCGTATACTGTATACCATGCATACACAATCTATATCTTTTGATCCCAGCTCGGCCCGTTCTTGGACGACGAAAACGTGCACGACAAGAGATTGGCTCAATTCTGCGACGTGACTGCGTCTGCTTCCCACCAACTGCACAATCTCGTCACGTGGGCTCGGCAAATCCCGTCCTTTTCGGATCTCCCGCTTTCCGACAAGGTACAGTACTGTACACTATAGTGAACTGCCGCATTTAGTCAACATGCAGCACACGATCGAGTGCTGCATGTCCAGTACAGTACAGTACAGTATACTGTATATACTGTATATGCCAATAACTACTGCTATGCTATTTTACACTGCTGCTTGCTCTGCTGTGTGCTGATGCAGCGTCAGTCAGGACGACGTCGACGACCAAGGAACCTCTCCTCTATCATCACCTGATTATTTATATATACAAGCATATATTTTGTTGTCCTTTTTTAAACCAAAAAGAACTGTGAGTCAAGTACAGTATTTTGAATAAGTCTTTATCCACCCAATACTGGGTTTGCATGAGTCAACAAACATAAACAGGTGAGAGAAATATTCCAAATTAAAGTTAGGATATGTTTATAGTCTATCTACTTAACACCACAAACTCAGAACACACTCTGAGCTGTTTAAATGGAAAGTCTCCGTTTAAATAGATTCTGCAATAGGGACACACAACACTCCAGGAAATATGGCAAAGATACACAGCACTCAGGAAGTCTGGCAATCATTCAATTACAGCAATTCAGTAGAGATATGAAAGGCCACTTATAGTGCAGGGAAAAGGTGCCTATATTCAAGAGAAAGATATTGTGAAATATCTTTCATCTCGAGAGGGAAAATTTTAATGGAATCTAGATCAAGGAAGGTGGGGAAGGTCACTCCCCCATCACTGTTCATGATGAATAACACGTTTTAGCAGGAGATGCTAATGGATTCCATTTACTATTACTTGCTACAGTGTTGAATTAATCTAGGCAGTGGGAAAGGGGAATACACAAAGTATTTCCCTTTTCCAGGATAACAAAACAGTATATATGTCTCATATATATATATATATATATCCCTCACTTGAAGTTTTCCATGCAGCAAATAAACGAGCTATACGTATATACTGTATATATAGTCATCATGGATACTAACAAGAAGGATGAGATGATAATGAGTACTGTCTGTTTACTCTGAGTTTATATTATACATATTCGTACTGCTGCAGTGTGCCAGCTATATTAATGTAATGTCATAATGATACGCATGGAGCACTGAGTGTAATTAATGAGGCGCGATGACATTGTTGCATGAATTATTGGACAGCTATACACGATTAAAACCACATTCCCTATTACGTTTCCTCATCTGCAATATGGCAGGACGAATCGCGGCTCAACTGCAATCACCTGCAGCCGTGCTGTAATATACTGTAGTACTGGGTGCGTATAGAATCGTGTAAGCTGCACAGTACTGTATATTATAGTGCTGCACAGTATATATACGCAGCCCCATCCATCCCCCCCCCCCCTTTTAATTGATGCGTATATATACTGTACTGTACAGTACATTTCCATGTTCAGTACAAGTACGGTACCCTTTGCGGCGGAGATAGCCCGGAAATATTTTCAGAATTCGGTGCCATCATACGAAGCATATACTGTAATACAGTATTCAAAATAAAATACAAAATACTCTAGTCTGATCAGCAGGATGTGAATATACACGTCCGGATGAGAAGCATCCCAATTGAAACATTTCTTGGAGAAATTTGCATTGCAACAACAAGAAATTATTCACTTCTTTTTCTTTTCTTGCCAGCTATAGCTTATTCCTGTCGGCGTCGTACGTAGAGGATTAGTAACAGCATTAAGGGGTTATTTGAGGAACAATAATAGGTTTAAATTCCTACCCGGATTTTTTTTTATTTTTTCAACTTGATGGTCAAGTTATGTGGGCTACTATACTATGAACCATCATGCATGCATGCAGTCATGCAAGGCTGGATATTTCGGCTTCTGACTGAATAAGGTCATTACGAAAATGCGACAATCTGCGAGGATAACCGGGCTCTCTGCTGATGCCGCGGGATATGAAAACCAGTCCGCCATCACCGCGTTGTCCAATTATTAAGGGATACATAGCCATGTTATATATATATATATATATATATATATATATATATATATCTATATCTATATATACTGTATACTGTACAGTAATAGTGTACTATATACCTATACTGTACTCCGATTGCCCCATCACGCATAAAACATTACGCACGCACATGAGATACAGCAGCTCTGTACTGATGTACACTGCTGTACAGAGAGTATGCTGTACTATTATACATGTATAAGGATGGTGCTCTGATGTGGTATTGCGCAGATTTCCTTGCTGAAAGCGCAGTCCGGGGAGCACTTGTTGCTGGGCGTGGCGAGAAGATCTTTGAAAATGGAGGACGTTCTACTGCTGAGCAACGACACCATCATCGTGAGGAATTCCGACGGTGAGCAGCAAAAGAGTGCAGCACATTTATTGTCATCGCATGAAGCTATATATATATATACAGTATATACCGTACTATATATACGTAAAGAATTAATTGCTGCATTTTGTATAGCACATTTCATTTTCCATACATATATATATATACTGTATATATATATATGCACTGCTGTGCTGTACTGTGCTGTATATACATGCATTAGTATATTTACTCGATCCAGCAGCATCAAGCGCGATATATGACGAATTTATGCCGAGCGGAGCAAAGAACTTATGTATTATTCATGCATATACAGTACTGTAGCATATATTATTGTACAGCATCATATTACTACGGCGTAGTACAAGAATACTACAGTAGTACTAATATCCCATTCATCTTCTGCTGTGCCCCTTAATTGTGTAGCAGGACTGCATGTATTGTATCTCGCTGTGTGTCTTTGAATATAAATACTGTACTGTACAGTGCAGTATAGAGTATATGTGATGCATATCATCGCAGATGCAGCAGTATTTATATATACATTATCTCATCGTCGTCAGCATTTATGCTTATTCGCCGTTTCTCGCATCCATTTTTCCCTTTTATCACTATTCTTCCGTCAATTTTTCCAAATGTATATATATGCAGTAGTAGTATGCTGCATCACTTTCGTGTCATTCATGATGAACATGTGTATATACAGCTATAGTAAAGTACTCTACTCTATCGTCTATATACTCAGAACAACGTGACATGAACGGGGTCGGAGACAGGATCATGGACGAGCTCGTTGACCCCATCAAAGAGCTCTCGATCGACGACGCAGAGTTCTCGTGTCTCAGGGCTTTCGTTTTCTTCGATCCCTGTGAGTTGTTATACACCTAGAGTATTATTGTACAGTACAGTACAGTAGTTGGTATTTCAGCATCATCACTCCCACCACCACCACCACCACCACCAACAACAACAACAACAACAACAATGATAACAATAATAATAATACAGTAATAATAAATATTAATATGGCAAAAAGCGCGATAAGGAAATTCAATCCGATTTCCTACCAATATTCATTTCTTTATTTCTTTCCCCCTAAACTGTATATATACAGTATACTGTATACTGCTCTACGTCAGTGTGCTGAGTGTGCCTTCTAATTGTCTTATTCACGTAGCGCATTATCATCGAAACAAATGTGCTGCGCTGTGGAAATATCTGTGCCGACGAAAAAGAAAATAAAGAAAAAATAAACTAGTTCATTAATTTTCGACTGTTCATTCATGCAGTATATATATATATATATATATACAACGCTGTACATATATACGGATGAAATTATATACACACAGGACTACTTCTTGCAGCAAATACAGTATCGTAAATATATATATATATATATATACAGATAGATACCGGAACCAACCTTGTATACAGTTGATTGAATCCTGCACACTCACTCGGTACAGTACAGTATACATGTACCTCGAACCAATGAACGTGTCCTGTTTATACTATATATACTGCATGTATACAGTACAGTTCAGTGCAGGATGTATTTATTTTGATGCATGCAGTCGTGAAGGGAGTCGTGGAGAAGGAGCGAGTCAAGGAGATGAGGGAGGAAATCCTGTTGACGCTCGAGGAATACGTTGCCAACAAGGCTGCTTCTGCAGCACCTGTTATTATTGCCAGCACCACCAATAACAGCATAATGAAAGCAAGATTCGGCAAACTGTTGGGACTGCTCCTCTCTCTGCAATCCATCAAGCACCAACTGCTCCAAGAAATCGAGAATTACGCCAAAACCAATGGGAAGGAGCAGCTGGATTCCTTGCTCCGAGAAATGCTGCTGGGAGGTGAGTTCACAAACAGCAGTATAATCATGGGCATGATGCTGTGCACCAGCAGTTGTATATACAGGTACAGTAGTACAGTAAATACATGTACCGCCGTACAAGTGCAGTAAATATATACATACAAGTACAGAACCAATAACTTTCATGTGCTGGCTGTGTATATCTGCACTGCAGTAACGCATACGACACAGAATAGTGACAATATATCAAATTTCAAAAGCGCTGATGGATCGATCGATGAGGCATCATCAGCAGTTATTGAAACAATACACAGCAGCGTGCTGCAACTGATTTTTGCGTGGCACCCATCATTCCTATTAATTCAGCACGATATGAACAGCAGAAACCAACGAAATCAATGCCAAAATCCTCAAGATGGTGTCCATATTCATTCATTCATTCATTCATTCATTCACGCACGCACTTTCCAGATGTTTCGCATACGTACATATAGTAAACTGTATGTACAGTATATATATGCAGCACATCACTGCAAGCCGCTGTATCGGTTCAGATTGGCTTATTGCTGTGATGCAGCAGTTGATCCTGTATATATATATATATATATATATATATATATATACAGTACTTGTGTACATACATTAGTATATACTGTATACTAGCTGCACTCTATTATGCTGCAGCAGGCGGCGTGTGGTTTCCAGCAGCAGGGATTGATTCGCTGGCAAACCTGCCACCATCATCCATCCAGCATGCTAGCACAGTATGGTACAGTACAGTACAGTGTAACTATAATGCTATTCTGACACACTTGCTGCACATGGCGCACGGGTATAATGCGTGAATAATAAGAGGGCTGATCTCGTTTTAAAAATTTAAAGTAAACTGAAAATTTAAAGAAAAAACAACTGCGTGTATGCGTGATTCCCTTAGATTTGTCAGAAGCATCAGCGTCGGAAGCATCTACCGCAACAGTCGGAGCAGCAGCAGCAGCAGCAGCAGCAGCAGGGTCGGTACCTGAGCCTGCTCTCGTCGTCTATGATGCCGACACATACGCAGCAGCAACATCGTCGTCGACATCGTCATCGTCATCATCATCATCATCATCATCATCAGCAGCAGGGATCATTCCTCAGCAGATGCCAACAGTTGCGATTCGACAAGACGCCGAGCCGGACGCGTGCCAACTGCATCACCAGCAGCAGATGATGAGCCAACAACAGCAGCAGCAGCATGCCGCAGCTGTTGTCAGCAGCATGCAGCACCATCATCCCCAGCACATCCACCTCCAGCACCACGTTCCACAGGCCAATCGAGGTTTCGTGCCTCCATTCCCGGCGATCCCTCAGCATCATCCCATCAGCATCACTCACCAGCAGCGGCGGCAGCAGCACCACCTCCACCACCACCAGCAGCACCAACACCATCACCTACACGCCGTGCATCACCAGCACCTGCAGCAGCACAATAACAGCAACAGCAGCAGCACTGCAGCAGCAGCCAACTTGTTGGACTTTACTCCTGCCGGCAGCAGCAGCAGCAGCAACAGTAGAAGCCATCATCAGCATCACGTGCTGCCTCAGGATTTTCTCATTGACTCTCGTCCTCATCATCATCACCCATCAGCACCACCAGCATCAGGTGTCGCCGTTTCTCCGTCACTATTACTCGGGCAATCACATCACCAGCAGCAGCATCAGCAGTATACCTGACGATGGCGGGAGACGGGGCTGTTGTCAGAGAGTATCATACGTCAGCAGTACATCCTGATGATCGGAACATGGAGCAGCAACACAATACTGATGCATATACCGTCTGCCTTTCTCTTGAAATATCCGACGGTTCATCGTTTATATTCAATGAAAAAAACATTTACCTTTTGAGAATGCATATTGTTTGCAGCAACAAAATAAAACATCAGAGACACAAAGTATACTGTTCACCATTTCTTTCAAAATGTATACACCATTTCAAAAGGCTTCTTGATATACTGTGGCAAGGAAATACAGTATTAAATGTCAAAAAAATAAAGTGTCCAGGCAATATCCTAATACAGTGGAATTCCGTTGCAACAAATCTTGTTAAACAAATTTTTTGTTTGGTGGTCCTGATGGCAGTTTCCCTTAGGCATAATGTTATAAAAATTTCATTATAACAAAGTAATTTTAGGCTGCAATCTCATTCTAACAAATTTTTAGGCATGATATTCTGCACTATACCCATACAGGAATTACTCAATAAATGGCAGAAAATGAAGAAAACACTTTAAGATCCAGCATTAAAAATTCACAAAAAGGAAATCTTCATGCATAGAAAACTTGGTGTCCAAAAAAATGCACAACAGATTTTTGGAAATTCTTCAGCTCATCCATTTTAGAATGTATGCCTTTTTCAAATAAGCAGCATGTAAGAAGAATGTTCATCCACATTTGAAAGAGCTATTATGTGTGAATAAGTTGATTGAGAACAGAGTGCAGTATTTTTACCATATTTAATTCTTTTCTTTTTTTTAAGACAAGCAATACTTTAGTGTAAATGTTAGTTCATTTAAAGGAGAGTTATATTTATATCAAAGTATTTCACTTCATTTCATCAGGAGTACTTGAATTATTTGTTTTAGAAGCATTTTAAAGTATGTATTCCCCATTTCCAATAAAATTCCTGTCTAAAATGAGCTAAAAATCATTAATCTCAAAATAACAAATTTTTTGCTACAACAATTTTTTCTCAGGTCCCTGGGAGTTTGTTCTAACAAGATTTTACTGTATAATTTTTTTTTGATTTCATCAAACAACCACCGACATGCAGCTCTATAAAATGAATATCTTGCCTAATTATTTCATTCATGGGCTGCAGCATATACTGTTCTGTATATATATATGCACTAGTATACTGTAAACCATACGTACATTATGATAAATGTAGGCTTCCCTATTTTCTTTCAAAAAGAAAAGGAAAATTGCATGGAGGGAAATCCTGAAATTTTTAATATTTTCCCTACAGCAGTGATATGTATACAGCATAATACTGTATATGTACTGTAAAACATCATAAACCTATCAAGATATATTCATATTATACATTAAAATTTAGTTTTCTCAAGCATCATCAAGATTTTTTTTTTCAAGTTTCACGCCTGTGACGGTCTCTTTGTGTTAATCCTGCAAAAGGCGGATCGAAGTGCTGGTTAAAATAACAGATGTGATCCACATTTCGGGTTTTCAACCAGAAAATTTCAATAAATACCTGCATAAGAAAGATTTGAGGCTGGCACAGTTTAAAATCCCGTACTAAAAGCAATTGTAGAATTCAATACATTAAAAGCGTACTTCTTATTGTGGGAACGATGAACGTGAGACAGCACTGCAAAATACAGCTTCTTCACGATCCCCGGAAAAAGTCTGCCTCCTGTGAGGATTGAACTCACGACCCCTGGTTTACAAGACCAGTGCTCTGCCACTGAGCTAAAGAGGCTCCACAAATTCTTGTCCTTCAAACTATTAATCCCAAACTAACTACACTGTATTGTGCTTTCATTCAAAGCATCAAAAAAATGGCTACATTTCCACATAGAGAGGGTTCTCATAACCTCTGCAAAGCTTCTGCCCAATATTTCTGAACAGAGAGCGTGCTTTCAGCAGTCCGACGTAATTTACTAACTATTTATAGTTCCTGATGATGAATGCTGCGTGCGCTGCTATGATGATGGGTGCTGCTGCCTTCTTCTCGGAAAATTTCGGTTTTTGAAAAATGTGTTTTCCCTTGAGGTTAAGTTATTAATTATTAATTACCTGGTTTTTCAAGCATTCTTTTGAAAACCATGACAAGCAATGGCATTTTTTGATAAATCCTGAATTAAAAGAAATTAAATTTTTCATTATACTTACAGTATGTATATGTTGTTCACATTGAAGAAAAAATAATTTTCTTGAATGAATAAAATCATCCAAATGATGAAAATATATAAGAAAACTATAATTTAAAAAAATTGATACAATTACAGTACTTGCACTAACATTTCTATGAAATATTGGTATGAGGAATATGGTTACATTGAATTCCAGAGCATCATTTCAGTGGCACCCATCATATACTGATGTTAGGCAAGTAAAAATTCCAAATGTTTCTCAACTGGATGGTCAACACAGTCAAATAAGTGATCCATTTTCTAAAATAAATCAGAGAAAACCCCAATGAAATTTGCATTCATGCACATATCTTATAATTTCCCATTGCAATGCTAATCAAAAGTCAAGTGGGAGAAGTTTCTTCTATTCTTCAAGTCCACTGTGAATCTTATCTCAGCAATTATGAAGAGACGATAAAATATCCAAGAAAGCATTTTCATGAAATTTTGCTTTGAGAGCTGGTTTTGAAAAGTTCCTTTCATACATTGACTTATCCTCATCATAAGATTAAAACAACTGTCAGTCAATGTCACAAATTCAAGTGCCATTGAAGCCATAACTGAAAAGTCTGCCAAAATTCCTTGAAAGCCTTTGAAGAAAGCTTTGGTTAACAGTTGCATTTTCTCACTTTCCAGTGAACAGTAATCATTTATTGCAACAATTACCTTCCAATCTAGCACAGTGATGGAGGTTATAGGGAAAATTAGAATTTGTTTGAGGAATGCAATTTGAACAAAAGCTCCAGATTTTCATATATGACAACACAAATTCAACAGACATGTGAAAGCATAGCCAGAATCCTGACATGAGCATAAATTCCCTGATTTCCTCTTGGCAGAAATAGAGAGGCAATTGTTTTCATAATCTTAAAACCGTTTCCACTTCCTTTGTCCTTTAAAAAGTTTCAAATTTTCCTTGCACCATGTTCCAATGGCAAATGTTGAAAATATGAGGGGAGAGAATCATAAGAGCTAATCAATTCAATCAAAATCATGAAAACTGAAACAATTACGGAAGAACATCTCAAAGTAAAAATGTAGAAGGGCAAGAAAAGATTTTGCATTGTTGTGTACCATGCCATTTTGCACTAACAATCATCTGCATCAATGTTCAACAAATTTCAATGCTCTAAACTGTCTTGCCAGTCCATCAACAAGTTTCATTCTTATTGCAGAGCAGGCAATAATGACAGAATGACAAATCGTCCTGAATTTTTTTGTCTGATTCACAAAACTTTTGCAAGTTCAGGTTTCTGAAAAATTCAAGTTTTTGAAAGATTCTAGCATAAATATTCATATTTCATCCGCTTACATGTTATCCCCAATAGACATGCATTATGAATCTGAGGAGAGTGAAAAATTATCCTTGATTTCTGCCCATTCTTCAGCTTTGGCACTAAGTCCGTTGGCACTAAATTGGGGTTTCCCTTAAGATCACAATAAAGGGAGATTTTTTCAGGTGAAATTCGTGGCTCTAAATGGTGGCACTAAATTAGGGGGAACTAAATCAATGTTTAACAGTATACATATATATAGGCCCAGTGGGTCACTGCTCTGCAGAAAAGAAACAATTAGTAAATTGTGGATTGCTACATTTTCCATTTGATATATAGTATTGCATACTATATATGTATATTGTAATATGGTGGACACCCTATTATTACTGGAGCTAATATGTCAGCTGCTAAAATGGGAGCCAGTGTGCCCCCCATGCAGCCCCTCAATTCCTTGCTGAACCCATCATCACTCTCTCTTTGGCACTTGGGTGGGCAAGTTGGGATATTTTCACAGAGTTGTGTGCCACTGGGCACTGGGAATGAAAAAAAGCCTACTTTTGTACAAATTCCTAAATTGGGAAAAAGACCAAGGTTTTTTTTATCCTGCAGAAAAATGTCAATGAAAATTTAAAAATCCCCCACTATATGTGGCATTTTTCCTGCATTCCTGGCATAGGATTTGCATGGGAAAATCTTGAAATCAAAAGAAAATTTGCCTCCCAGATTTTTCCCAACTTTGGCCTCCTCAACCTGGGTGCATTTCAGTAACCTTGGGTCAAACTGAAATTGTGCCGCCCCCTTGAAAAAATCCCAACTGTGCCACGCACTGCAAAAGAACCCTCCGACATCCAAGGGTTAAAGCAAAATCAGAAGAGACTTCAGTATAAGGCATGTTTTAATGGGAATAATAACAGGATCAGGCAATATGCAATACTAGCTCATTTTCCCTTTACGTTTGGTGTGAATGAATGTGTTCTTTGAAAACTATGATTATTATTCATTTTTATCACCCTTATTGCTTTCATCAAAGTAGGTTTTTCATTGAAAATTTCTCAAATTATACAATGAAAATTTGTGCAATTGGAAATTGTCTGAATTAAACTTGTTAAAAGGTTGTTATGTTAGGTTTATTGGCATTAATTTTCAATTCTGCCATTAGCCTATGATATTCAAAATTGTTTCTAACAATTGAAACTTTAAATTGTATGGTATATAAATGTACAGTATACCTTTTGAAGTTTTCTGATTTTCAATTATTTGTTGTAATATTCATAATTCATCAAGTTCATAATCCATGCATAACTTATTGATTATCTCAGTGAGTCCCAGTCACTTTGAACCCCAAGAAACTCCAACACTGATGAAACCTAAATCACTATCAATGAAAAATCCCATTCCCATCATGAAAAAATGAATAAGGGACTTTGACTGAACCACCAAATTGAGAGAAGGGAGAAGCACAAATAGTAACGCACTGGGACATCCAGTAATTTATCTACTGCTACACAACCAAAACAGTAAATGGAATAAGAAAATTTGAATTTATTTGGGCAGGGAAAATTTCCAGAATTGGATTGATTCTTGAAGAATGGATCCAAGTTATTCCTGAAAAAGAAAAAAAAGTTTTTGACAGTGAGTTGATACAAAACTCTTGCAAAAACTATTCTCCTGGATATCTGATATTCTGATCTTTAATTTTTTATTAATTCACAAGCTTTTTTTGCTTTGGGAAGAGTCAACAATTTTGGAGATTTCAATTTCTGTGAAATTCTTCAACTTTCTGTTGGCTTTTCTTCACCTATTCCCCCTTCTATGGCCATCCATGCAGAAATAAAAGAAATCAACTTTCTGCCACACAGAAGTTTCAAGAAGAAGTTTAAAAAATCCAAAAAGATTGCTAGACATCCTCACTGAATAAAAGCAGTTTCAAAAATTATTTTATTTTTTGTGGCTGATACTAAGAAAACTATTCAAGATTTTATAGAACTAGATGATTCCAACATGATCAATTGTACAAACCTTTCTGGTTTCAAATTACTCTCAAAGGTCTATGGTGTGGATATTAATTTCCTTGACAAAAAAATCCAGTGTTATTTCTAAAAGAAGATTTTTGATTGAGAATATTGATGAGAAATTCAAGAAAACCCAGGTTGAAGCAAACTAAATAAAAAATACTTCCAATCTTGTCAGTTCATTGTTTCTCAAAATGATTCAGAAACAATACCATGATGTTCCACCTTTAAATCAGTGATGAAAGACAGGATTCCTTTGAACTCATAAAATCCAGCATCAGTTCATCAAAAGAGGCATTGGCATTTTGATTGCTGGAATAATTATTAAATCTTGATAAGAAGTGTTCAAAACCTCTTCTTTGGAAAATTTTGCATCAATTCAGAAAAATATATTCCTGTATACCAATTCCTGATGAGAAAGGAAAATTTTACAAAAATGATGGATTGACCGTCACACCTATACTCCAAGTTTTTCCTGGCAAAATTATCAGAAAAAATACCTGAAAGCTAATTTTTGGGTCTTTATGAAAGAGGTTCCCAGCAGAAGAAGAAATCAGTCTGCCTCAGTCAGTGGTTATATTCCCTTGATCAATAAAAAGTCACTCCTTCTATTGATGGCTCCTGTTTTTAGTTATGTAAGTTATAGCATGCATCAATAGAAGAACTGAATTGATGATTCCTTCACTACAGATTAATGTGGCTTGTGCAATGTTTTCTTTTTTCTTTTGAGAGGTACCTACTATTTGTCTTCAATTTGGGAGTGGTTCAATATTTTTAGTCTTTCAAATCCTCTCAAAACCTGGACAAATGAATTAATATTGAAACTTTTCCTGTGTTGCATTGAATTTCCTTTGTAGTGAAATTTGTTGCATTGGTGATATACTTGTACTGTGGATTTAGGAAAAAATTGGAAAAAGAGAGTCCAGTTTTGTCTGTGGCAAAATCCCCATATAAAAATACAACTTGGTTTCCCCTGCTTTCAATTTTGCTTCATGATGAAATCCAGTGTGGGAAAAATCCTGTGGTCCAAAAATCCAAAGAGGGCAACAACCCTGTGGGCCAAAAACTGTTTTGTGGTCCAAAAATCCTGTAGGTACAAAAACCTGGTGCACTACAAATTTGTGAAATTGTCTCTGGGTTTTCTTTCCAACCACCTGGAAAAATGCAAATCTAGTGGATTATGAAATTGTGAGAGTGCCATGGCTTTTCTTCTGAGGGTTTCAAATCTTTAGGAATTATAAAGATGTCTAATACTTTACTGTGGTATTTTATTTGCTTGTTTGACAGCAGTGCTTTGTCAGCTGTGATATAATTTAAACTTAAACATTTTAAAATTTAATCTTCCCTGGCCTTTGTGTGGAAATCTTTTAGAGTTGAAAGCTTTTTGTATTTTTATGCACTTTTTTAAGCTCTTTATTGCATACTGAATACTGCATTGAATGTTAAGATTGAAATACAAGGCATTTCTGATACTGTATAAGAATTTGTGTTTTGGGATTTTGTGCCTACCAGATTTTTGCACCCTTCGAGATTTTTGGGCCTGTGGGATTTTTGGCCTAATGGGATGTTTGGGCCTCAGAATTTTTTCCTGCACCCGTTCAATTTATAGATTTTCAAATGTTTATATGTTTTTAATATAGTGTTGGCATGAATAATCAAAGCTGCTTTGGACTATTTTACAAAGATTATAATTTTTTTCATCTTCCCACATTTTTCTGTGCAATCTTTAATTCAGTCAAGATGTACAAAAAGTTTCTCCATTATGAAATCCCATAGGAGAAAAAATCCTGCAGCCCAAAAATCTTGCAGGGTCAAAAAACCCCATAGGTACAAAAATCCCTTATACTACAAAAAGTCTGCTATTTTCTTGGAGTTTTCCTTCCAAGTGCCTGGGAGGAATGCAAATACTCTATGGTGGATTATGAAATGGTGAAAGTGCTGCAAGGGATTTCCTTCCAAAGACTTCCAAGGTTTAAGAATTACCTCTCTCAATAGAACCTCAACTTCACTTCTATTGTACATTGAAACAACTTCACTTGTACATTGAAATTGAAATTAGACAAAGTGAAATATCATTATACAACTGTACTTAGATGACTTATTTGATGATTGCAAAATTATTTACTGACCATCACCATATGTATATATCAAATAAGGTTTTTCTGATGTAAGAATTCATGTTTCAAAGACAAAGTAGAGCTTAAAATAATTGGAAAAGCAAACAGTTTATATACAAAACAAATACAGGGACAAAGCCTTGATCCAAATGAAGGTTACATTTTTCTCATCTTTCCTTGGGAGAAAGGTGAGGAAGTGAAGTTGAGGTTCTATTGAGAGAGGTAATCCCTAAATCTTGGAAATCCTTGGAAGGAAACCCCTTTCACTTTCACCATTTCATAATCCACTGTACTGTATTTGCATTTCTCCCAGGCAGTTGGATGGAAAACTCCAATAAAATATCAAAATTGCTGTAGTATATGGGATTTTTTGATCCTGCAAGATTTTTGGGCCTACAGGATTTTTGGGCCTTGGGATTTTTTCTTCCACAGGATTTTCTCCTGCACCCACAAAAAGTAGTACCAGTAGTCACAAAAAGTAGCACAGTACCAAAAACCAAAAAGGCGCAGTAGCACACTCCCTACAATGAACATTTTTGTGAAGTTTAATGTTTATATACATAATTCAAGGATGAAAGACACTTTCTACTCTCTGGCCCTCATGTTCTAAACCCTCCAGCTAGCATATTTTTTCTTCATATATAAGTCTTAACTTTCCCTTACAAACTGTAAAGTATTTGCCTTTTCCATGTGGCCTGCAACCCAATCTGAGTTTGGTACCATTCTAAAAAAATTAATCCTGACTTTGTTTTCTGTCAAATTTAATAGAAAACACAAGTGTCTCTCAGGTTAAAATTTAAAACTTCTCCAGACTGAACATTATCAAAATTAAATCTGCTATCACAACACCAATAAAGGTATAAATGGAATCATATATTATCAAGACAAAAATCGCATCAAGTACAAGACATATTTTGCACCCCCAAAAATGAACAATGGTTACAGTATGCTAAAATTAAACCTCTTCCCACTTCAAGAGGCAAAGTTCAACTGTGAAGATTGATAGAAAACTGCACAGCTTATATTCAAAGTAATTTCAGAGATTTTAAATCCAAATGAAGGCTGCATCTTTCCCAGACTCTGGTGGTAGGTAATCCTACATTTTCCCTTAGCTTTCAAAAGGGTTGGAAGAAAACCTTGACACACTTTTGCAACAAGATCTTTGGGCTAATGTGATTATCCTACCTGCCTGATCATCAAGTTCATGGATTTTATTCTGCCATGGGTTTGGGCAGTATCTTGGAGATGGAAATTTAGGGAATTTCAGTGCTAAATGACAGAATTTGCCAATTTTCTCTGCAGGATCAGTGTATGTTCACTCCAATTCTTATTGGCATTGAAAAAATATGTAATTCTCTGATTTCCCATATTTTTACACTTCTAGAAAGAATGGAGAAAAAACAAGTCCACAATATACAATATATTCTCCAGACCAAACTGAAGAAATACCAAGAAAGAAAAAGTATGCATTTTAAAGAAAGAGTGCGTGTTTTCCAGAGAGTGTGATGTTGGGTATTTGTGTAATTTTGTTTGCAGGGCCAAGTAATGGATGCGTGGCATTCTCATGGGTCTTGAAAATTATTTTTTCACTCATTTTCTGAGAGCAACCAAAGGTGTGTCCCCAACAACACAAAAATAGTCCTCTGCTGGGTAGAATGCAGGTCCAGGACAAGATGTCCCAGATCTGCACACTTCCCAGAATGCAAGGAGGGATGAGACAAAGAGGTTTTTTGGCGCGTTCAAAGGCATCTACCCCGCAAAAAGCCCACACTTAAATGGAAGGGACTCAGTGCTGTAACAAACTTATTGAGCTCATAATTCATTCAAAATTTATTGAGTTCATAATTCTTAATATTGGTTGATGAAATTTTTTTGAGTAATGAATTTTTCAAAAAATATATATTGGAACATAGTTCTGTGACAAAAGGGAATAAATCCTGGAAATCAAAAAATAGGAAATTCTGAATGTAGAAGAGCTTCATAGGCCAAAAGAATGAGGAAGTGCTGTGAATTTTCTGTACAGAACATTGCAGGATTCATCTATATATCCACATACACATTACACTAACACAATGACTTTATAGATAGTGCACAGTATATGTATGCGGTGTTGATGCTGAGGAGATCACACTGGGCAGCCTGCCCAGCATGTTCAACAATGCATTGGATGAGGCGTTCTCCATGGGGGACTTGGGTGTTCCGGCAGTTGTCCAAGAGATGCTGCGCACACGGTCTGGATCTGTGCAAGCTCAAGGGCTGCCCATTTGGCAGCTTTGGACGTATCTGTGTCCTGGGGCATGGTGATTGTTGGAATTGGGTTTGGTGGTTAGGTTGGCGGACAAGCCCTCAGCAGTAAGTGTTACGGTTGGTAGTTTTGATTTTACACGTGAAAGCAGGAGTATATTTCTGTTGCAGTTGGTCAAGGTAGGTACAGAAGGGTGTTGCACAAACACAAGATACAGGGGACAGCAGGGAGACGTGTTCAGTTTGAAGGTTTGGACAGAAGTGTTGGCATCCTGTCTGGGTCATCCTTATGTGTCTGTGCCAATGACCTTGAGTCCATTAGGTTTTGTTTTCTTTTTTGGCAGCGGGGTCTGTTAGGTTTCCTTGCACTTTCCGGCAGATGTTTTCCCTGGTTTGTGTTAGGGTCGCATCCTTGTAGAATCTGCAGGAGAGATAGTGCAATAAAGTTGTTTGCAAGATTGATATCTCTCACTATGCAGTAGTTCATTCAACAAAATTCAGAGGAAAGCCAATTCCGTGGTGATTCCTGAAGCAGCCTTATATAAATTCTGCAGAAAAGTATTTTTGCAGGAGGCCTTGTTTGTAGACCATGATGGGATGGCACACAATGTGTGCAAAGTTTATCTTGAGGAGTTTGTTATCGTGCAACAGGGTTTTACAATCAATACGAATTTTAATTTGTATTGAAAACCTTTAAGAGGATGACCACCAAATCTGCCGATAATTGTGTTGTTTAAGGTTCGAACCTCTTTTACCAGGTGGATCCTGGACCAAATACTTTAAGTATTCAAGACAATTTTATGACAAATAAACACACACAAGTTTGACTTACAAGTATTTATTCAGCTCCAATATATACGCGTATACAGCTCTCTCTGAGGGTATCTTTACCACTGCTTTCTACTGGGCCTTGCATGGCCTTTTATTAACTCTAGAGAAACCAGACAGTACAGGGTCATTGCTCGGCGATGACCATCCGACCAGACAAAGAAAGGAGACACACACGTATTCCGCAACACAGTATTTGTTAGATTTATGGGGCGGTCGACCGCCTGAGGCTAATTACCATTGGGACAGGTAACGAGGGAAACTCAGTTGCGCACGCATGCGCAGCCCGTAATTCGTTAGATTTATGGGGCGGTCGACCGCCTGAGGCTAATTACCATTGGGACAGGTAACGAGGGAAACTCAGTTGTGCACGCATGCGCGGCCCGTCCACTTTAATGAGTGGGGGGAGGGGCGAAGGAAAGTTAGAGCACGGTTTTAACCAGCTGATAACAATCACCCGGCACAAAGAAGAAAAAGCTTGCTTTTTCTTATTTAAACTTTGCTGCCGTATGGCAATGTTTTGCTCTATTTAAATGCAGAAATCCTCAAAGTGAGAAAAGTGCAACAAAGTTATTCCTTCACATACGCAGGTACGTGCGAATTTGCATGTACAGATTTCACGTGAGTTTTGTTCCATCGTTCCCATTCAGTTTCCAACGTTTGTGGAGAAACGTAGTGCATACTTTTCACAGCGATTTGAGAAGAATTTTGAAGCTTTTTAATTTTAGAAAAAATGTTGGCAAGCAAATTTTTTGTTTCAGCAGCTTGTATTATTTTTAATAAATATAACTCAAATGCTCAAAGTGAAAATTGTGCATTAATAGGCGAAAACTGGACTTGCTATAATTTATGCAAGGAAGGGGTTCGTCAAGTTACTGCGTATGAGGGGATCGTTAAATTAACTGGTCCGGAACTTAATATAAACTGTGCAGCATTTAACCAAATAAAGGTAAGAATTTGAACTTTCGCGAACATTCAATCTTCGAGAAAAGTGCACTATTTATGTTTGTAGGTGGTTATTCTTGTTGGTGATGTGGAGTGTGTTGGAGACGCGGCGTCTTCTTTCATCGTTCTTGAAGGAGGACGCTGTAGATTGGCTGGACAGGTGTCATCGGTGATCAGCACAACAGAGGTTCCAGTCTCCAGCAGTGTTCCCATTTTTGAGGGAATCTCCAGCGAAAGTCCAGTCTTCCAAGTCACGGAAAGGATTCTTGATGAGGTGTCTTTTCCAAAGGCATCCATTGTTGGAGCAGGGGATTTTCTCAACGGATCCGACACTTCGCACAATCACACAACATTTGGATTTCAAGATCACATGTACAATCAAGTGGTTGCGGGGGTTTCAAGTTTTATCGCGATAATGTTGTTGGTGGTTGGTATTTGTGTTGGCATTGCGAGCGGACTGATCATTTATATGGTCAGAGAATATGCCATCAACAGAAGACATCGTCGCGATTATACTGAGGTAAGAAAAACATAAAACGGAACATAAACAAAAATTCTTAATTAGTTTATTTTATCAACAGGTTCCGATTGGGGAGCAGCGGACTTTGACTCCGGAAGTAGTGGAACTCCAGAGTGTGACTAGTGAAACGCGGAATTCAACTTTAAATACTACAAGTGATCGTAATGATTTGGGAATGGAAAGCATCGATCTTTGCGCTTTGTCGCCGATTTCGCGTCAAGAACAAAAGCATTATGGTTCCGTGTCGTTGGTATTGAGTAACGATGGCGTGGTGGTAAGAAATAAAGTAAAAATAAACAAAAATCGCCCGGAAATGCGAAAAAGCGTTCACAGTTTAAAAAACAGGCAAGAAGAAAAAATAAATTTTTCTCGCATTGTTTCCATGAAAGAGGGAGGAAATCGCGCATTTGAAGTCGAAGGGGGAAGGGAGCCTCTGGCAATTTCTCCAAGCATTTCGGAAGCGATGTCGAGCGCGTAGTTATTTGGTTGCCGCAAAAATCACGCGAATATGATGGAAAAGAGAATTGAATAAAAATGTTTACAAGAGTTTCAAATTTCTTCACTTATTTATTTTTAGGTTATAATGAACAGATATAAAGTTTATCTTTATATACACAAACATATACTTATTACATTTTTCTCTTTATTATAAGCACCTGAATATACAAGAGACTCATACATTCTATTCACATTATATATATATAAGTATAATCAATATACACTTAATATATATTTTTCTCGTATAAACAATCAATTTTTCTTCAATGAAATAATTACACTCTTTTACTTCAGGTAAAATGAGCGGAATCTGGGGTTATTTTGCCTCACTGCTATTTTTGAGGGAGCCAAGGAGACGGCAAGGTTTTATTGCTGCATCTGCACAAAGCGTCGATTCCCTGATGCGTTTTACGACAGGCGGACCCCTCTTCTCACCTTGAAGGTTGAACGCTATTCAATAGAATGCGGACCCCTAGGCAATTTTAGCAGTTTTTTGCTCTGGTTTAAATCTTTGGTTCGAAACACAGTAATTTCGTCCCAGCACGATAGTCTACTTGGTTAGGAGTGCCACCGTTTGAGAAATCGCAAATTTTTGGTCCCGGGTCGAACCTCGTCAGGGGTTCTGGCTTGTTTGTGCCCATCCAGTTCACTGTGAGATATAAGTGATACGGGATCGGATCCAAACGTGCCAGGATTTCTTAAGAGGGGACACAAAAACTGAATTCTGGGATTCGCACTTCCGGTTTGTACGTTAGGCTTTACAGTAAACGTCCAAACTCGGACGTGCTTATACCGGCGTTCTATCGTCCAGGAGGGACAGCCCAAAATTTGCAGAGAATACGAATCGTTTCCAATAAGCTAGGATGAGCTGCGAACCATTGATTTAAATACATGGTTCATGGCTGATTCTAGCAGCTTGGGGGGATTGGGATTCTACGAGGATGACGTCAAAAGGAAAAATACCGAGTATGACTACGTGTGGATTGGGGGATTTGAGTTGTACGGTCCATACTGTTGGTGTGAATTCGAATTCCAACAGTAAGATGCATACACTTGAAATCTCTTTTTCTATTATTATACAAATTTTATCGAGGGATAAATCCTAGCAGGTCAGGGAGGCATTAACTCTACATTTTCAATTTGCCTAATTAATTGATTTGCTCTCCTCCGAACTAAATACACTTTCATTTTTGCGTAGCAGAAATATAATAAACAGCACATAATAATCATAGAAGTAATTGATAAGCCTAGCAAATAAATATGCCCATAATCTCTGAAATGCATTTGCACTTCACTAATGTCATCTATTACTTTTCGTTTGTCTGATTCGGGCATTATTTCAGTGACTGTTTTTAATTCAACTCCTTCTATATCTAGATTAGTTACTAAGTCAGAAACAGGACCATTTATCATAGTATATCAACAAGAGTTATGAAACTTCATAATTCCACTATGAGGTAATTCGTATGAATTTTGAGTGGGACCGTTTCCTTGATCTGGACAGTATTGTGTAACCCGACTTTCCTTAGGATTTACGAACGCAAATTCATCTTCATCTAATCTTAAAAACTTGACTTCAGGAGTAGGAACATTTTCAAGTAAACATTTTTGATTTACTTCTTTTTCCTCTCTATTTTTGAGTAGGGCTTGTAAGCATTCATTTGCAGGTCTATTCGGCATAATATTAAATTTACATAATTGGCATCTTGAAAAGTCAATTGAATCAACACAATTGGGTAATTTGTCATATTCCAATCCTAGAATTTGATCAGTATTCATAAGTAAGAAATCTTCTTTTAATTTTACTTGTTTCCATTTTGGGTTTCCCAGATAAGTCTCCTTGGAAATTGGTAAACTATGGACTTTAAATAAATTAAAAAATGAGTTTTCAGTTAATATAGGAATTATAGTCATCAAATGATACATACATGACAACGGTAAAGTCAACGAAGAGTTAGTTGTGCATCCGAAAAACGCACCAACAGTTAAGGGGTTTGTATGAATAATGTTGATTAATTCGGTGGCTGTTAATGCACTATTTTCAGTAGCCAGAAATTTAGTAAGAGCAGTTTTAATGTTGTTTGGCGTTATTAAACTGCTGGGGAATTTTAAATCATTTCGGAATTCCACGTTGTTAATTATTGTTTTTAATATCGAATTGAGATTGTTTAATTGAGTATGTATAGACAAAGTAATTGTTTCAAATACATCACTCGAAATATTAACACGCATTTCTTGGCTTAATTTATTATAGTTTTCTACCAGTTCTTCTATGTTCTTAAAGTAGTCACTTGGTGTGGGAGCATTTAATATAACCCTATTAGAGGTGAAGCTAGCTCCCGCAGCAGGTATACTTTTCATCCTGTCTTTTAAGTTCTTTTCAGAGAAAAGGAAAAAGCACGGGATGGAATCTTCTCATAAATGAAAGCTTGATCATATAATATGGTATTTATCAACGTCAAGGTATTTAGTGATGACTGTATACCATTGATTAGAATTTTATTTTGCCTGACATAATTAGGTCCAGATACCGACAATAGGTATTGGTTTATTTCTTCGACTAACTTATAGGCTTTACTTTGAATTTCTCCAATAGGATATGATTTTTCTATTGTCCATTTTGTTTTGGGAATGCATATTGGATACATTTCTGAGAAGGTTATTCCTTTATTTCCAGGGAAATTCCTTACAGGAGAGAAAATATTGGTTTGTTTGGTATTACCAATAACTCCTTTGTTTTCAGGGAGTTCTTCTAGGATAATGGAATTAGAGTATTGCAAAATTGAAGTTAATGAGAAGAATATAATAATTTGGGTATTCATGTTTCACCAATACTTTGCACTTCTTCAAATAATTTTTCTTCTTCCGCGGACGAGTCCAAAGCAGGTACTGCTCTTCTTTTGTCCAATATTTGCTGTCTTCTTTCCCGCTGTCTTCCTTCAATGGGGTTGATTGCTTCTCGTCCTTGGCGTGTTCTTGTAGGAAGAATGTTTTTCGTATCCAATCCTGACAAGGCACGGGGTTCGTACGGTTGTCGATCTCGTACTGGAGTACTTCTTTGTCCTTTGGCAAAGGTCCGTTTGAAAGAGGGATCTTCGTCTACAAAATCATCTCCAATCACATCAGTAATGGTTTCAAAGAATTCTTTGGTTCCTCTATAAAAATTTCTTGCTTGTTCTAGAAATGTTTTAGAGGGGGCGGAAGGTACACTTCTCGTCCTTGGCGTGTTCTTGTGGGAAGAATGTTTTTCGTATCCACTCCTGACAAGGCACGGGGTCCGTACGGTTGTCGATCTCGTACTGGAGTACTTCTTTGTCCTTTGGCAAAGGTCAGTTTGAAAGAGGGATCTTCGTCTACAAAATCATCTCCAATCACATCAGTAATGGTTTCAAAGAATTCTTTGGTTCCTCTATAAAAATTTCTTGCTCGTTCTAGAAATGTTTTAGAAGGGGCGGAAGGTACTTTAGGAGAAATAGGTTGTTGATAGGGAGTTTGGGGTACTTCTCGTAATTCTTGAACATTTTGCGTTGGTGCTACAGATTTTAAAAGAGATAATATAATGCGAGGTATTAATTTTTTCTTTTCTATAATCTCTTCTTCTATGGTATTATTTTCATCTTCATCTAGGAAAGTTTCCTCGACAATTCCATCAGAGGGTTTAGAAACACATCTGTCTTGACGGTAGCTATAAGAAGGATTTGCTCTGATTGAAATATTATCGTCGTCAATTGTCACTCTTTGTAATGGGATAGTGGGGTTATGATAAGGTCGGAGGTAACTAACGTGAACAACGTCAGACCACATTGACTTAGGATCCTTAATACAATATGATACCGGGTTTATAATTTGTGTAATTATATATGGACCTTTATACTTTTGAGACCATTTTCGCCCTACATAGGTTAGAAAATCATGCGTTCTTAATAAAACCAAATCATCTATTTTATATGAAGGATATTTAGTGTTTTTATTAAAATGCGAGAGATAAGCTTCCTGTCTTTTTTCTATAATGAACTTGGCTTTTTCTCTCAAGGAATTTAAGTTAGTTAATTTCTTTTGGACAAAATCTTTAATATCCACATAATTGTTGGCATCAGAAACATTCCATGGGACCCAATTTAGATTAGGTTTTTGTCCAGTAACTAATTCATAGGGTGACAATTGAATAGCTTTGTGCTTAGAAGTATTGTGAACCCAAGTGGCCAATTTGACTAAATGATCCCATTTACTACGGTTAGTGGGATCGGAATAAATGGCTAAATATTCGTGCAATTCTTTATGTGATCTTTCGTTTTGACCATTCGCTTGGGGATGATAGGCGGTAGTAGTACGAGCGTTACTTCCTAGCGCTTTGGCTAATTCTTTGAAAATGGCCAATAAAAAGTTAGTTCCACGATCAGTGAGAATGATTTTAGGGGCTCCAAAAAGACATCCCCAATCATCCAAGAAGGATTTAGCCACTGCCTCAGCAGTAGCGTTTTTTAACGGGATAAAAGAAATCCATCGAGATAGTCTATCCTGAATTACTAAAATGTACCGATTTCCTGCACCACTAATGGGCACGGGTCCCACTAAATCAAGGCTAACCTCTTCAAAGCATCTGCTAGGAATAGGTAATGACATCATGGGAGTATTATGTCTATACGTTTTGAATTTTTGACAGATATCACAATTTTTTATGAAGACATTTACATCTCATTCTAAATTAATCCAATAAAATTTTTCTTTAAGAGAAAATATAGTGCGATCTATTCCGGGATGTCCAGTGGCAGGAGTATTATGATATAACTCCATGATATAATTTCGTACTTCTGGAGGGATCCATAATCTTTCTCCTGCTTCTGTTAATTTATATAATTTGTTATTTCTTATTACAAAATCTTTTCCGGTAGGCCATTTTTCCTTGGGAATCAATTGAAGATAATTCGTTATTAATTCTAAAGGGACATATGGTTTCAAGTCATCTAGAAAGTAAGAAGGTGATAGATAATTGCACATTTTTATAATAGGTGGATATCTAGATAAGGCATCAGCATGAGGGATATTCTTCCCTTTTTTGTATTCAACTGAGTAATTATATTCGTTTAAAGTCATAAACCATTTTATGGCTCTCTGACTGTCGCTATGTCTTTGCTTACTTAAAAAGGGGATAGCAATATGATCAGTTTTTATTACAAAAGGATAACCCCATAAGAAAGAGCGGAATTTTTGAATGCCGTAAAATACAGCAAGTATTTCTCTATCTGTATTTGGGTATTTGCTTTCTGTGGCATTCAGCAATCGAGATACGCATCCAATTAATTTTTCTTTCTTTCCATCCTTTTGAGTTAGAACTGCTCCTATTGCTATATTTGATGCATCAGTCGTTAAAATAAATTCTTTAGTGAAGTCAGGGAAGGCCAGAACGGGGGCTGTCATTAGACAAGTTTTGAGATGCTTAACGGCATTTTCTTGTTCTTTTCCCCATGCAAATTTTACATCCTTCTTGAGAAGATTATGCAGAGGTTTAGCTATGGTTGCGTAATTTTCGATGTGAGATCTAAAATAACCTGTAAGGCCTAAAAATGCTTGTACTCCTTTAACGTTAACAGGAGTGGGAAATTCTCTGACAGCTTTCAATTTTTCTTCGGTGATACGAATACCATTAGTGCTTATGAGGAAACCTAGATATTCAATTTTGTTTAGAAAAAATTGACATTTACTAAATTTTACTTTTAGTCCAGCTTTTTTAACTTGTTTAAATACTTGTTCTAAATGTTCTACATGTGATTCTGCATCAGCAGAATATATTACTATGTCGTCTATATATATGAAGGCATAATTGCCTAGACAGCCGTCGAGTACCAGATTCATCATTCTTTGAAAAATGCTTGGGGAGTTCTTTAATCCCATGGGTAGTCATATAAATTCGTAATGCCCCGAAGGGGTTGAGAATGCTGTTTTATGTCTATCTTTGGGATGTATAACTAAATTATAAAATACATGCAATAGGTCTAATGCTGTAAAATATTTTGCTTTGCCTAGTTCTTCAAATATTTGATGTATTCTAGGCAATGGATGAGGGTCGGTAATAACATGATCGTTAAGTTTACGAAAATCAATGACCATTCTCCATCCTCCATCTTTTTTCTTGACCATAAGGGTAGGAGATTTATAAGGAGAAGTAGAAGGACAGGCTATACCTTGATTATTCATGTCCTCTACAAATTTATTCATTACGTCCCTTTGAAAATGAGGAATAGGATATTGTTTAGTAGTAATAGGTTCATCAGTATCTAAAGGAATGGTGGGTTGATAAATATGGCATAATCCAAGAGTGTCAGTTCTCCTAGCCAATACTTCTGAATATTTATCAAGAAGTTTCTTTACGCGTCCTTTTAAATTTGCGGGACATTTAGATTTATCTAGACTAGATTTAATCATGGTTTCAGTAGTTTCTTCTGTTTCATCCTCTAATCCATGAATATGGATATTGGGGTGATGATTTTCTTCTTGGGAAATATGGGCTACGAGATATTCTTCACTCAGTAATTCTGCTGAAGCTATATTTAACGAGGGATTTAGAATAGCGCTTTCATTACCCAAGTTGATACAAAAACGTACACAAATCCATTTTCAGATACAGTCGACAATGATCTTCCTATAATAATGTCTTGATCTGGTCCTATTGCAGGGTTAACTAGGATATCTTTGTTTTTGAATCGTTTTGCATTTTCTGACGACATTTTCAGTTTTATAAGCATATGTGATTGGGAAGGAATTGTTTCTTTGCAAATGGGATATAGATGAAAGCTAGGGTTATTGTTTATTTGATAATTTCTTAAAGAAGAGTTTCTTAAGGTAAAAGGAATATAAAAGTTATTTACAATTAATTTATTGGTCTTATAACACATTTTTACAGAATTTTGCTTAAGCCAATCTGATCCTAGGATTCCATCAAAGTTGGGATTTTTTATGTTTTCAATTAATAGGAAGGTACATTTATTAATGGTTGTTTTGTTATATATAATAGATTTATTTATTTTTCCGATTGCTGGTATGCTGCTTCCTTTTAAGGTGTTGATTACTATATTGCTAGGGGAGATAGTGTCTGTATTTAAGGAATTGTCTAATAAGGATATTTCGGATCTGGTGTCAATTAGTAATTTAATTTCTTTATCATTTCGATCAAAGAAGATAGGTATTACCGGAAGTCGCGAAACTTTTGCGCTCCCTGTTAATAATCGTTTCCCTGATTATTCTCTTGAACATTGTTGCATTCTACCCCGTAATTCTCTTCAAACCTTTCAATTGTATTATCCGGATAGCAATATTTGGCGTATTCGCCATAATTGTCTTCTTCTTTGTCTGGATCATATCCACTATAATATTGATCTTCAGGATTTAAATATTCTATTTCCTCGTAGGGATATTCATCTAATTGTAACCAATTTTCAATGGCATTGTATGAGTGCTCATTAAATTCGGCATACTCTCCAAATTCATCATGGGGTACTGTAATATTATTGTTACTCTTTCTTACTGGTCCACCTCTCCTACCTGATGGGTGGCGCGATCGTGTAGGGGCGCCCCTTCTGAGGGATGGATATCCACGAGCAGGGGGACGTCCGGCATTAGTATTCTGAGCCTGCCCTTGGGGCCTATTTCTTTGTCCCATGTTGGTTGATGGTTGCTGGAAAGGGGAACGACCCTGAGTAGGTCGGTTCATCCAGGGGGCGCACATTCTTCCGTCTACTCGGCGATAAGGTATGCGAGGAGGAGGAGGAGGAGTATAATTTTGCTGGTAGTTGCGATAATTGTTCATAGTGGGTCTACTATTATATTGAGGTCTAGATTGAGGTTGGTAATTTCTGTTTCCATTACAATCAGCGGCATGATGACCGTACTTTCTGCAGGCATAACACATTTGAGAACTCAGTGGAACAGGATTACCTTTGCCAGGAACATTTCTCTTCTGCATACTTTGTTGGGAATAGTTTTTAGTGGGATTAGTTGAAATAGTATACGTTTCGCAAGCATATGACAGTTCTCCTGTCATTATAAGAATTTTCTCAGCTTTCCTAGCTTTCTCCACTGCCTCTTTATAAGTATCTGGAACTTCGGGCATTCTTTTTTGGATGATGGGCAGAAGTCCTTTAATAAACTTATTTAATTTAATTTCTGCCAGGAATGTACTACGACATTGAGCACGTATTTCTTCTTGTTCATACATTGGACTGGCAATTAAAGTTCTCATGCCATCTTGTCGCAAGACTTTAATTTCCGGTGTGTGTTCAGCATCTAGTTTCGAGGAAGCCAAGTCCAATCTCAAGGCAAAGTCTCTTACCTTTTCATTTTCTTCTTGTTTAATGTAATCCAAAGCAGCAAGGCCATCAGTTAGATCGTCTGTATCATAGATTTTTCTCAAGAACTTAATTATTACGTGATACGGCTTGTAAAATAAATCTCTATCTGCTTCTATTAATTTTTGAGCTTTTCCTTCAAGCTTGGACATTAGGAGATTTTTTATTTGTCCGTCGTTTAACGGGTTAGAATTTACGGTTACTAAAAATCTGGAATACCACGAATTCCAAGAGATAGAATTACATTCTCCCAAAAAACAAGGCATGTTGTTTATAAAGGCGTTAGTTGTTTGAGGATTACTAGCTATTGATGCTCTTCCTTGAGTTTGGTTCCATACTACCATCTCTTCAGGAGTGGGTGTCTCTAATGTTCCTAGTAACGTATTGGAAAGTACTGACTTTCTAATTTCGCTGGATTCATTTAGTTTCATAGTTCTTTTGGCAGCCTGCTGCTGTATCATTTGTGAGACTAAAATATTATTCTTTTCAGTAAGAGCTCTTTGTGCATCAGCAATAATTTTTAGACTATCTTGAATATCTTTTTCCATGGTTGACAATTCCTCGATATTAGACTCGAATTGGCTGATCTGATGTCTTATAGAATTGGCTCTTTTTGCACTAGCATTAGGTAATTCGCTTCTATATTTAATAATATTTTTTCTAGTTTCATTAATGGTTCTTTGCAGATAAGCAGCTTGTTCTTGTGGTGAAAAAGTTAAATATTCTGCAGGAAGGCTATTCGCTTGGTAGCTTTCGGAAAAACTACTAGAAGCTTGAAACAAAGTGGATGGTTCAGGATCTTGGGTGATTCCTAAGTTGGAAAGTAAGTCTTGATTGCCTTGTGGAATTTTGGGAACTTTGGAAGGAATTTTGGTAGGTTGTATAGGAGGAGGATTATTTTCATTCAGGGGGATAAGGTCTCCTGAAGCTTCTGCTCCTGGTACAGCCATTATTTTTACTTTTATTAAAGAGATTTAAATTGACACTTCCTTTTAGTCGTCGTTTAATCCTAGAGGATCTCTAGCTAGTCTTTCTCGAGTTTCTTAAGGGGTTTCAAAGTCAGTAGGTCGCGTTAATTTTACGTATGTACTGCGAGTGATTTGCTGAGGAGTGTTATCTCTTTGGGTTTGCGTGTTAAGTCTGTAGGCACTTGCGAATAATTTTTCTATTAAGTTGCAGTTATATTCAGTAGCTTTTCGTGCGCTGGTTTTATTAGGTGCGCTCGAATTTTGGGTTACCGGGGTGTCTTTTATTTGTTTAGACATATATTAATTGACTACTCTCTTTTCTATAATATTGAAATTTATTATATGATAAAATAGACTTTTTTGTCCTTAACGATTTCTTTCTAGTTTTAATATATGTGATATAAAAACCTGTTGTCCTTTTTTAGGAGCGACGTTCCTTTTTGCGAGACTGCTTTGCAATGTAGTTGTCTCCTCTTGCTTGTTGATTTTTTGATCCTCTTCTCCGGCACTCTGAGCACTCACTAAGAGATGCTCTTCGCCACTAAGGCGGAAATCCACTTAGGATTGTAAGCACTGACTCAGATATGCTTATTTCTTAATTTTTTGGCCACTTAGGCAAAATGTTTTCAGCACTCACACAGACGTGCTTTTAAGCCACTAAGGCAGTGTATCTTTTGGCACTCACACAGATATGCCCCTCAAGCCACACAGGCTGTTTCTGGCTCACTCAGAACCCTTTTGCAAGTTCACTTAGAACTAGTGTGTCACTTAGACTTTTTTTCGCGATAATCTTCACTTTTCTCACTCAATTGTCTTCCACTTTAAGTGGGGTCTAGGAGTTTGTTATTGACTGGTTATTGACCAGCACTCACTCGGCGCAAAAGAGGACAACCGACTGCGCCAATTTTGTTGTTGTGCAATAGGGTTTTACAATCAATACGAAGTTTTAATTTGTATTGAAAACCTTGAAGAGGATAACCACACAATTTTGCCAACAATATATTTATTTAAGGTTCAAAACTCTTTTACCAGGTGGATCCTAAGACCGAATACTTTAAGTATTCAAGACAATTTTATGACAAATAAACACACGCAAGTTTGACTTACAAGTATTTATTCAGCTCCGATATATACGCGTATACAGCTCTCTCTGAGGGTATCTTAACCACTGCTTTCTACTGGTCCTGGCATGGCCTTTTATTAACTCTAGAGAAACCAGACAGTACAGGGTCAT